CAATATTTGGGTGCCTCTGGCCAAATTACATGTTTTGTTGATTTTCTAAGTGAAAATAAGTTAACAACAGAGAACTTTTGCACATTTTTATCATACAAATAGTGTTTATTTACTGAATTTAAAATGTTAATTAAAAAATAAAACGTGACCTATGCAAAAATTATAGCACATTTTATTGTATATGATTTTTTTTCCCAATGTGTTAAACTCTACAAATAGAAATTGAGCCCTCGCAACGAAAACAGTATATGTGACATTTTTTTTTGTAAAAACTATAAACGAATGGTGTTGGATTGTTTGATGCCCTGTATTTAAAATAAAGAGGTCACTAAAACGTAAATAAAACACAGTTTGGCTTTTTAATGTAAAAGGTTGCACAAAACAAAATGCAAAACAAAACAACTGATAATCAATTGTGCACTAAAATTTGCAGAAGATGCCATATTTAAGTTTGTTCCCTGTAGAGGACGTGTTCACTTCACTTTCAGCTAAACATGTAATTTGACTGAATGTGTTCAAACTTTTGCATACATGATGTACCATGGATGCAAATGTTAATACAGTGAGCATTGTACTGCATGTAGGAAGAAGTTAACTGAAATATTTATATATGAAGATGCGTCAGCAGGCTTGGTATAGGCCATCCATTGAGGTAGGGCTATAAGTGCTTGTTCTTATTTTGGAGCATTAGTCATTCAGACCAGCACACAAGGTCAATGTATCATTTCTCTGCAATGAATTCATTAAATGATTAACGATGAATCCCACTAGCTTGGAGATATGTGTCCTCTCATGCTTACAGATGCTTTTTGGCTTTTTGAATGGATCGTTTTGTCCTTTCAACCTTGAAAAGGTCTCTTTCACATCTCATTGGGACCTAGGTTCCCTTGTGTAACTTAACAGGCATTATCAGTTCTTCTTCGTCTTCTTTTTTTGACGTTACAGACTCTACTAGGAGTTTCAGTTGCAGTCACTATGTAGAAGAACTGCTCTTAAATGGACTTTAAAAGCAGACCTTTCTTCCAGTGTACGGTTATGCAACATTAACAGTGCCTGATGTTGGGCATCTTTTAGGATCAGCTCATTAGGCAGAGAGCCTTTCTTTTGTATGACCTAGATCAATTAACAGGACATTGACTGAGAGACAGTTACACAGAGATGAGGAGCGTAAAAAGGGGGACAATCCAAAAATATTACAAAGTTTTAGACTTTTGATCTCTGACCGTGCATAAACACATAAAAACAATATGCCTTTTTATTATGAAGTAGTGAAGACCAGTGAAAGTCTTACCTGCAGAAGTTCTTACCTGCATTGACCTCTGCTGGGGTGTTCTTACTTCACATGTGCACTTTAATGCCCTACTTATGCAGTAGGAAGGATGAATACAAAAGCTTTATAAACTCCTCAGCGCTGGCAAATAATTGATGAAGCAGAAAAATGTACGACACTGAGCGAAGAATAATTACGCTGTGCACACAACACACACTCCTGCACACAGGACACACACACATGCGCACACGCTTTACAAGGCACAACAGAAACGCACACATTCGTACGCCACCTGGGGTTTCAACCCGCAATCCTCTGATAAACAGCTGAATCCCACTGGCGCTTTTAACACTCCACTGAATACGAGAGAAATGTGTGGCTGGAATGTAACACAGTGAACGTGCAAACCATTTCAGAGGAACCAGTCAGAGACACAAACCGCAGGAAAGAACAACTTGTCCTATCAGTGCAGTTAGAGTAGAGGAGAAATTAAGTGCAGGCACGGAGCGCAGCAGGCAGAGCGAAAGAGTTTTAGTTTCACTGTAAATAATTTTCACACCGTGAGCAGCAGTATTCAAGAACTAATGAATAATGACATATCCATTATATTCTTCCTTTTTCCTGACAAAACCGTAAGATATGAGTGTTAGAGGCCTAGACCACTGACAGGGAGCGCATTACTGAAACACCACAGATGTGCACTGTTTTTCTTGGGCTTTTTCTTTAAGACTTGTAACAGAATCAAATGTGTTTTTTTTTACTTTCTGCATGTGATTTTTGTCAATACAATGCATTTTTGTGACGAAAAGCCCTTGTTTATCCGAATACTGTTGCCCCAGTAGTGAATTTCTTATTCGGTGCCAAACTAACAATGATGTACATTCACATTCCCAAACTGGATTTAGGGGAATTCTGCTTATTTTTTCCTTTACAGTGGTGGTGATGTGGATCAGAAATATAGCCATTTAATTTACTATCCAAAATAAGCAGTGAATCTACACGTTTACTGAGTTTTTATGTGTGATGTTGATGATGGACAAATAGTGTTAAAATCTGGGAAAAAAGGTTCTTTGGGGACTATTTTGTACAGAGCCCCACTGATGACATCCTGTATAAAAAAAATAATGCGTGGCCACGACTTAGTAAGGCATGGGAACGAGATCATGCTTTACTAAGTTGTGGCCACACATTAGGATCTTGTTCCCATGCCTTACTAAATCATGGCCATGCATTAGGATCTCGTTACCAAGCCTTATTAAGTCATGGCCACAACTTAATTATCTCATTCCCATGCCTTACTAAGTCCTAGTCATGCATTGTTTTTTTTTTTATACAGGATGTCACCAGTGGGGCTCTGTAATTTTGCCTAACAATGCCCTGCATGTATCTCTGCTCTATGAATGTGTTTTAAAAAGTATGTTTAGGCCAAACCCTTCTCAAAAACCCTTCTCAGGCTTCAGGCAGTGTATTCATAACCATTTATATTTACGCCATTTAGCAGACACTCTTATCCAGAGCAGCTCACAAAAGTGCTTTGTTGTCTACTCTGAGAATGTATCCTAGCTAGTACAAATAGATTGGAGAACAAACTACCCTTGAGCTCAGATACTGCTAGAAACAAAAGCCAGTGCTGATACCTGGAAAAGAGATACAGAATTAAACACAGCATAAGTGCTATACAAAACATTTCAACGAGTACTTAGATTAGTGCTCACTTAAGTGCTGTATAAAGAGAGGGGTCTTCTTTGTGTTTGAAAACGGCAAGAGGGTCTGCTGTTCAGACAGCCAGTGGAAGTTTGTTCCACCACCTGGGTGCCAGGACAGAGAAGAGTCCGTTTTTATCCAGTAGCTTTCTTTGAGGGACTTTTTAGAGGTATTCAACTCTTTGGATGTCTGGTTCCTGTCACTGCCACTGTGAACAATTATGTTTTCCTAGAATGGTAATTTCCACATCATTTTGGCAAAAACCTATTATAAAAACTAATACACGAATGCTGTATGTGTAATATATGGATATTAGTTCAAATATCTGTACATTCAAATAACAGTGCCCAAACATATAAAATAATAGATCAGACAGCATAGATATTAGCTGTATTAGTCTATATTGGCAATTAAATAAATGTGTAAAAGTTTTTTGTCAGAATATGTTTACACTGCATCCACAGAAAAACATTCATTTTTTCATGAAAAGCAATGTATATAGAGATGTCTGTAGATATCTAGGTTTGTGATTTATATATCTATGAACAAAAGCATGAGCGTGTGAGACTAACTTTTAATGTAAGTAAATGTAACAAGAGCACTTACTGAAGGTCAGTTTTCCACCTTAATAGGCTACCAAGAGGCTGCTGATTTAGACAAGAATAAGTGCACTTTCAAGGACCTGCATATACTCTTTCTTGGACTATGTACAGTGCTGTGTTAAAGTTTTAGGAACTTGAGAAAATTAGAATTAAAAAAAGTTTTTTGTCTGGTCAGTTAGCACCAAAAACACTACTATTAGAATGAACACAGGTAATATTACTACAGTAAGTTTATTTACCCATTTATAAACCTCCCCACATATTAACTGTATTTATCATACAGTACCTGGTTTTCTTATCACTGCTTAATTATGTTAAATCAAGCATGCTGGTGATGGAACTTAACAAATCCATGTGATGGCTGGGGGCATCAAGGAGACACACTTTGTTCTTCAAACTAGCTCACAAAATGTCAACTACTTTTTTTGTTACTTTTTAATGTATTTATGTTCATTTGCATCTATTTTTTGCCATTTTTACTGGCAAAATTGTACTTATTGGCAGTATTAATGGCTTAAAACAATGTGCTACGTCTTGTAACATAGTTTTGGTGCAGAACCACACACTGAATTTCATTGTACTTGTAAGTGATACCTATGGCAATGCTATACTAACAGCCTTTATGACTGACATTTATTAGAAGAAGTCTGTTTAAAGGCTTTATAAAGATTTTTTTTTTTTATGAAAGGCTTATGTAGATGTCAAGAGGCCATATCAACACTGCACTTCAGTAAAATTTGATCCCAGATTTTATTATAAGTAATTTTAGATTGTCATTTGTCCAGTTTGTCGTGATATATCCATACAATGTGTTTTCAAATGGTGCAAAAATGGACTGTCAAAGCAGTTTACAGTATATCCATCAAGTGTTACACAAAAGTATCTGTCAACCCACTGAATGTTAGTTTTTCATTTCTCCTGCAATATTCAGGAGTGAAATTTCACTTTGGAGCTAAATGGCGTGGGTTGTGTTTGGTTTTGTGATCCACTCTGCAGTACTGTCAAAAAGCGTATTACTGTCAGCACTTAAATTCCAACCCAGTGTTCGGCTTCCACACATATTAAAAGGTAAAACAAAAAGAATCAAATTTAGCTCTGGCATGTTGCTGTAGTTAATCGTGGTGGAGTGTCCTTCACAATCAGTTGCTTTAACAACACAGATCTACTGAAATAAACTCTGTCCCTAAAGAGGGGTTTTGATTTAATTCCTATGGTGCACTAGGTTCATGCCATGCTAGTACTTGGAAATAGAGAATGTTAAAATATTCAGCAGCTCCTGCATTGTCTACCACTGATAAATAATGCATTTTAGCTAATTTCAGGCTTCTACCTCTTGTCTGTCATTCAGCATTTGCTTGACTTGGGTCATTATGAATGCTCCGCATTTCTGTGCAAGTAATGTCAAACTTTTCTCGTTGTGTCAGGTTTGGAATGTTCTACAAAGGGGAAGTCATGCAACCTCGGCTCTGATGGATACCATCCAGAGTTCGCATGGAGTATAACATCCGCAGAGGACTCCTGGGCGGAGGATCATGGAGGCATGGAGACCACAGGAGGAAATTCTCAAGGCTGGGAAGAAGGTAAAAGGAAGAAAATTGTCCACGAGAACATTTACTACACTTTTCTACTTTACGTCATGAAATTCACAACCCTAAGAGTGAACAGTGCAAGGAAGATTAAGGCAGTTCACCAGTAGAGAAGAGATTGGAATAGTCCACTCTCAGTGAGTGATAATTTCATCTCAACTCACAGATCAAGGAAGACATTATCAGAAGCCAGATAAGGGTTTAACGAGGTGCGGTAGGACATCTGCATAATGGAGATGGTGGTGCAGTGTGCTGTACGTGTGAGAGATAAGTATGTTAACAAAGCCTCATTATATAGTCAGGTTGCGGAGAAGGTTTGGGAATTACATGCTCTTCAGGCACTGCTCGTGCACTTCAAAGGAAAATAGAGCAATTCCTTTCGGCTTTCGATCCAGTCACCTCTCGCTGTTTCTCTCGCAGCTCTTTCTTGTTGTCCTTGCACGCGCAGCGGCAGGGGGGGGAATCAGGAAACGGTGTGAAGTAGTCATATTCATCAAGATTATAAACACCAGAAACACATCACAGAGTGGATCAATCAAAAGAAAATATTAATCTGAAAGAGAAATCATGTTTGGCCATGGGCGTATGACGGATTTACTCAAACAAATAGATGCTGAATTACAAGAGTACATCTCACGAAAAAAGGTTTTAAAAACTGTCAAGCCAGTTTCCTCCCTTTCAGGCACTGAATATTCATATCAGTTGCTTTAGCAGCCACTGTATTAACCTTATAGGGGGAGATTAGTCACGCATAAATGCAACATTGATTTACCTCAGAAGAGATAAAACTGTTCTAGTTTTTTCTTTCTTTTAAGGTTATACGGCTTTATCTAGATAAACACAGCCCGCCCAGGAAACTGTCAGCAGTGTGCAAGACCGTTTAAACGCACCCTAGAGCAAAGGAAATTAAAATATATGTGCATGCTCTCCACCCCATTGTACCGAGTTGCTATGCAGCGAGGCGGCAGTGAAAGACTGCGTCCGGCTCCGCTCCATACATCTTTTGGCCAGCTCCATTTATACACCAGGGGAAATAGAGGATGAGAAGTTTGATGAATGTGAAGCGTGGAAATGCCAGGGCTATTTACCTTTTCTTTATGCCGGTGTGCCTGCTGTCTCTGGGGACTTGTCGGCGTGTGGCTGTCACTGGAAGAGGGCTGGGAGGGGAGGGCCAGATCAGCGGGACGTGATTGACTGTGGCAGGGCCACTCTGCCTGGGGAGTGCTGGCCCAGAGAACGGGTGCAGAGGAGTTCACCACCAATACTGATGTGGGAATTGCGGAGTTGCCCATAAGTCTCTTCGTTACCTTTTCATACTGAACTGTTTTGCTTATAGGTGATAACTGGAAAGTATGTTTAAGCTTTAAGCTTAAGTGGCTGTCATGAGAAAACATCTTGTTTGATCATTGTGTGACCATTTCATGTTAAATGGACCATTAGAACTTTTGAAAAGCAAACCAAGGTCAAGTTTTTCATATGTTTATGTTCTTTAGCTTTGCATTTAACTTATGAGGTTAATGTAGTTAACACATAGGAGAACCTAATGTCCCACCAGGTTAGTCTAAATCAGCACACATTTGTCTCAGAAAGCATTGTTTGGCTACATAATATAGTGAGCAGTTTTATAGAATACCATCATGCCTTCTCCCTAGTCTGATGTTTGCTGTAAGTGATACCTGACTATTTGCTAATGTGATTCTTGACAGACTTTTGTTCATTTTTCAATAGCAGTTTATTATACAGTGTCAGAAACGACATAAACAAGTCTGCTTGACTCACTTAACAGCTCAGCACAGTTTGAGACAAGTATGTGATGACTTAGACATGCAGTTTGCACAGTGCTAATTGGTGGGGTATAAGCAGCCAGTGCAGATCTACAGAAGCAAATGTCAGATGCCAAACGTGTCTCAACTGATCATTTAAATTTTGCACAATTTTGTTTTTTTGGCCAAACCATCATTTTAAAAATGTTGAAGAGCCATTTCAGCCTAAAACTAGCATTAAATATGTTATTTCTCATGTTTCTCATGATTTTTCATCCAACAATATTCTCTCACTATAATACTCAGCATGCATTAGGCAAAAGAGTCTTTACGCAATACTGGGACTCCTCCCTGCAGAGCTAAAGAAGTACCATTCATATAGAGGCTAATAAATAAATAAATAAATAAATAAAAAGACTTGATGTTCAGTTTTCTTTGACATTAGGTGTGATGTATATCCCCCCTAAAGCACTTATAGTTCCTTCTTCCTTCAAGATACATTATCAGAAGGGTTTTTGTTTGTTTGTTTTTAAATAATATGTGCTTTTTCACATTTTGATTTTATTTTTTAGCTCCAGAATCTCAGTCAAGTCTGACACCGGATGAGCAGCATTTTCTCCTTGAGTAAATTATATATGACAACAATAAAATTAACTGAATTTGCTTAAGATAAGAGTGTACCCTGTTTAACACTACATCTTATATTTTGTGTGTTGTTTCCTCCTTTGCTAGAATTTTATTTATTTATTCCACAAAAACATAATCTTACATTTCCTCAAGCATTTAATACCTCACTTTATCAGATTTATGTTTTTCTGTCTTACTCCCTGATATGAACAATTCTCTCCAACCTAATTTGCTCCTGTGCATGGGCTGAGTGACACATTGAGTGCAGGGCTAACCTGCGCACACAGGTGACCATATTGCAGTTTGCTCTCTCCCTGTGGGTGCCCCAGGCATGCCGATTAGCCACATTAGTATGCTTAGCGCAGTTAATGACAGCCCTATAGAGTCCTCACTGGGCAGCTCCATTTGCATGAGTGGGAATCAGAAATGGTAAAGCGGGGCAGCAGAAGCAGCGGCTGATCATGGGACATTAATTCCCGGGCATCTCTCCGTCTCAGGGCCCTGGGGAGTGTTTGTACAGCGTGGCTGATGAACAGGTGGTGGGGAGGGGCGCTGGCTCAGATCATTACTGAGGCTGAGGTGGAGAAATCTGCCTAGACAGTGAGCAGAAGGAACCGCCACTGCCTTAAAGTCAGATCAGAACCCACATGATAGGTAAAGCATAAGGGAGTTCTGTAAAGGGGCTATATCCTGCATTTGTATATGCAGTCATATGCAGAAGTTTGACCACCCCTGGTCAAATGACATTTTCTAATTTCTAATTCTAATTTAAAAATATGTGTCAAACACAATCCTATCCAGCCCTCAAAAGTATTTTAATTTTCTTTTAATATTAGCTCGTTTCACAACTCACTGCACTACAGTCCCCAGCATGCACTGCAACGTAACTCTCCTACCCCAACAACAATCTATAGGACAGCAATTACACATCAGTTCTACACAATTCTATACAGTTCCATCCAACCAGTCTAACTGCAGGTCAACCAATGTAAATGTGTTTAAAAGATCAAGCTCCTGGAGATATTCAAATTTTGAATATTTCAAGTATACGTGTAATATTTCAAGGTCAACTACAAGTACCTATATTTTACTGTTGAAGTTTTTTGCGTACTTTGAATAAACAATGGTCAGTTCAGTTTATAGCAAAATATGAATTAAAAATGAAATAAAACATAGACTTTCTCTGGCCCACGGATTCGTTGAGATTTTTAATGTGGCCTTTTTAGGTTGAGTTTGACACACAGGGAATGATCCTAAATATGGACTTTGTGCAAATTTTAGTGCAAAAATATATTTCTTGAGTTTTTGAGTTTATATATATCTTATATTCAGGAAATAAACAGCAACAGTAATGCACAGAAATGTATCCTTTGTAAAGCATGTGTTAACTTATTTTCATCAACAGAACATGCCATTTGATTGGGCTGCCTAGACTTTTGCTTACAACTGTATATGTTTTTTATCTGTATGTTTGTCTTTCTCCCTGAGGTCGATTTGTTCCAAAAAAACAAGTCAGAATACATTTTTAGATTAGATTAGATTTATCTTTATTGTCATTGTGCAGGTACATAGCCAATGAAATGCAGTTAGCATCTCACCAGAAGTGCAAAATTCAGTATTATTTACATATAAAGTACAAGAAAGTAACCAACAATTAACAGTTACAATATGCACAATTAAGGAAGGTAGAGTGGTAAAAATAGATGTTGCAAGTATAAATATAATATACATATATAGAGTGAGTGGCGAGAATGCAAATGTAGGTAGTATGTACTGTCAGAGCAGCACATGCAAAGTGATAAGTATGCAGAGTAAAAACATGCACAGTAACTGTCTGTGAAAATATGAATAGTGCAGTAATAGACTGTACAAATGTGAATAGTGCAGTAATAGACTGAACAAATGTGAATAGTGCAGTAATGGACTGTACAAATGTGAATAGTGCAGTAATAGACTGAACAAATGTGAATAGTGCAGTAATGGACTGTACAAATGTGAATAGTGCAATAATGCTATGACATAAAGTACAGCAACAGTGCAGTGAGTGCAGCAGGGTCACAGCCTCAGGGAAGAAGCTTTTACTGAGCCTGCTGGTGCGGGAGCGGAGGCTTCTACCAGATGGGAGGAGGGTAAAAAGTCCATGGTTAGGATGAGAAATGTCCTTGATGATGTTCCTCGCCCAGCCCATGCGGTGCTTATGGCAAATATTCTCAGTGGTGGGTAACTGGGTACCTGTGATGCTTTGGGCAGTTTTCACCACCCGCTGAAGCGCTTTGAGGTCAGATGTGGAGCATTTGCTGTACCACACTGAGATGCAGTATGTGGGTATGCTCTCAGTGGTACAGCGGTAGAAGTCCACCAGTGTCCCGGGACACAGGTGAGCTTTCTCGAGGCTCCATAAGAAGTAAATACGCTGTTGTGCCTTTTTGACCTTGATGCAGGAGTTTAGGGACCAGGTGAGATCCGAGATGTGGATGCAAAGGAACTTGCCTCAGCCCCGCTGATGTAGATGGGGGAGTGTGCCTGGCTCCTAACTAACCCTCCAAGTCCACTATGATCTCCATGGTTTTCTGGGTGTTCAGTGCCAGGTTGTTGTCGTCACAC